CCAGCGATCGCGTGCTATCCGGAGACAGCGCAGCACATGATCGGGGCCAGAGCCAGTCTGGTGGCGAAGCACACCATACAGTTGACGCAAGTCTGCCATTCGATCTATAGTAACCTCGAACGAGAATTCTGGGCTGTCTGGTTGGTATTCTGCTACATCAGCTAACGCTAGACGGTGCAGGACTGACTCATGGGCACGGAAGCGAGGCATGCACATTGCCCACAAGGCCGACCTACATGTGGTATGATTGCGGAGATCGTCTCTAGCATCGTCGTCAGGACAACCGAAACACACACCTGGCCGTTTGGTTTGGGGTGACGTGCATTCGGGCCGCTGTGGGTCAGCCTCCTGCTAGAAACTTGAAAACCGCCCATCGGACACCAGTGGGCCTGTTCTGCAGCGCTGCGCGGAGAGCCAGCCAGCGCAGGCGGAGAGTCGCGAGGGGCGGCGATGAGGAGGAGGAGGAGGAGGAGGAGGAGGAGGAGGAGGAGGAGGAGGATCGATGCAACAAGCTTGGCCCTTCACGTCTGATCAACGTCAAAAAGGAGGAGCAGGAGGAGGAGGAGGAGGGGGGGAGGCGATGAGGAGAAGACGGAGAGGAAAGAAGGGGATAGGGGAAACCAAAAAGTACCGATACCACCACTCCCCGGACGCCTCCCGAGGTGCGTTCCGACGAGGCTTTCGGGGCGAATCCAGCGGTGAGTGGCGACGAGGGCCACCCAGGATGCCCAAAAGGGGAAAAACGAGGGGAGGGTAGCGGTGTGGGCACGTGCCCTCCCCTAAGGGGGAGGGAAGGAGGGAATTCGCTGGAATCCGCTGGTATCCGCACAGCGGGAACGAACTCAGCGAGGACGCCTCGAGATGTAAAGCCAAGACCCATCCCGAATGCTGCAATAGTCCCTCCCTTCAGGGGCCCTCGTCAAAGGTTTGAACAAGAATTGATAGCATTCCTGGAAGTGCCCCATCGGAAGATGACCGTCTGAGAATCCTCAACCCTGGGACCCCAACCCCGCGAGTCAACATGAAAACATGACTGCCGCGTCCTGGCAACCCTAAATCGTTCCTGAGCGCCATTCCTGGGACGTCAGCATCACGAACCTACATAGTTGTTGCGTCCTGACAAGTATGAACCGTGCCAGGACACCATTACTGGGACGTCAACCGAACGAGCCCTTGAAACTGAGGCAGTTTAAAAGACGAGCGTGCGCGGCGCTATGGCGAGAACAACATGTTGAAAAGGAGCCGCCCTCCATCATAGAAGCTGAGGCACAATGTTCAAGCGAATAGGCGCAGCGCGACAGGAGAGCCACAGTTTAATAATGACCGCCCTACATCCTCGAAACTGTGGCAAACATCTGCGGCGCAAAAGCGAAAACCACATTTTGAAAACATGCCGCCCTCCATTCTTGAAGCTGTAGCAAATCCCACGCTTCAGGGTTATAAGCGGTGAGTAAATCTCCGGCAAGACGCCCAGACCGCCGTACCAGAACGTCTGGGGGTGCGACATAGATGAGTTAGGTATAAGGAAAAGAGATGGAAGAGAACGAGGAGGCAAGAGGAGCAAGGAGAGAGGAGAAGGAGGCGGAGCAGGAGGAGGCGGAGAAGAATCAGGAGGAGCAGGAGGAGGAAGGAGCAGAGCAGGAGGAGGACGAGCAGAGCAGGAGCAAGACATGCATCATGCTCGGCACTAGGGCGAGGGCTACAGCTTGAGAACGGTCAGCCCTCCATGCTTGTGACTGCTTCGAACGGTTCAGACCGGTGTGCGCGGCACGGATGGGACGCACAGAGACAAACCGATGCTCGATGTTCTCCTGGGAGGCGCGCGTCCGACCCAAAGATATAGTACACCCCATCTTGTAGTGGATCGTTTCCCGAGCGGTGTGGCCAGGAAGCGTCCGCCACGACGCACATCCGGCCAGGCGACGCACACACAGTATAAGCACGTTGGGGTGACGCCGAACGGAGGCAAAGAGCACACGGTGAGAACCGCTCGCCCTCCGTCCGTGGAACTGTGCGGCATGCGACTGTTCGGGATCGCGCGTTCCTGACAGTCCTCCAGCGGAGCGTCCAGAACGCCCTGCCGACGCGCCGGGCAGTGCGACAAGACGAACTTGTTTAAAAGGAAGTTGAATGTAGGAGGAGGAGGGGAAGGAGGAGGAGGAGGAGGAGGAGGAGGAGGGAGGAAGAGGAGACGGATGCGATAGACACAGCTCGCCCCGAGGTTCAATCCCGGCCTATCAGCAGAAAGAGAAGGGGAAGGAAGGAGTGAGAAGGCAGGGGTTGACCTGCCTCCGAAAATGCAGGCTCCAAACTGAAAAAGACCACACAACGCGGGGAAACCGCCGAGCGAGGAGCCCGAAGACGCTCCTCCCCCTCCTCCCCTCTAGAGCCTCGCCCCCTCAAAGAATCCCCGACTACCCTCTGAAATCACCTACTTGTCATCCTCCTCCTCCCTCCTCCTCCTCCTCCTCCTCCTCCTCCAGCTGGCGTACCAGGCTTAAGGCTTGATTGCCAGCTGGCGGGAGGAGCCAACATTCTTCAGGGGTATCGGAGTCCCAACCCCGAGGGACGCGACACAAGGCACCGCGAGGGATGGCGGCGCTGCGCAGGTGAGCGAATGCGTGGCGATGCTGTTCGGCGAGGTGCTCACCATCTTCCTTTGTCATATGGTTGGAGTGGTACAGTATAATCCACAACATGCATGGGGGGAGCGGTGCGAGGACATCAGCAGGGAGCTGAAGAAGTGGCAGCTGATCACGCTGACGGGCACGAAGAGAACAGCAGATTGGAAGCACCCAGCAGCAAAACAGCAATTACCAAATCATTGGGCAATTCACTGTGGATGGAGACGGAGCTGCTGGATGAACAACAGTTGTGGAATCAGCTTCCTGCTGTCGAATCAACTGCCGAGGACATGTCTTAATCAGATACACCACCCACCACTGGGACTACGAGGAAGAGCGGCAGCAATACGACTGAAGCTGGACAAGATGGACATTCTTCTAATTGGAACGTACTACGCGCCAGTGGGGAAGAAGACCAATGACGAGTTGGCGAAGCGCATTTCTTCTTGGGTGGAAAATATATGTGATCGACATGGACGCATCACGACGATTATTTGGTGTGCAGACTGTAATTCAGATTTTGGATTGGCTCGGGGCCCTACTGGAGCAGTTGAGTTTACGAAAGGTACGGCGATCGGAGGATGCGAACCGAAGATCGAGAATGGAAATGGGAGAGAGATTAGACGCACATACTTGAGTACACATTTCATATTCAGACGACTTTCGTCCGCGAGCTGGGCAGCACTTGTTTTGGAGAAAAAGGGCAAAGTCGAATCGACCATACCATGATACCAGACGGAGCAACAGCGGCAACCAAATAATGCAGAACACTACCAATTGCGGGACGACGATTTCAACCTATACGGCATCTCGAACAACGAGATCCTATTCCAGTCGCCTTGGTTATTACTTGCAATACTTATTTGAGAGGGCAGCGCTGGCCAGTGCGAATTGACCGAAATGAGTTGACGAAATGTTTACGCAAGGGCACTCGAAATGTTTACGCGAAGATCTTTTTCAACGGATCGAACAGCTGCAGCAGAACATTGAGGAGGAGAGATGGCAGCAAGCAAAGAACAGACACACGCCAGATGATATGTGGGACATTCTTCGAGGATCTGTGAACAAGGCCATGGAGGAGATTTTTCCACAGGGAGTTAAAGTTCAACCTGAATGAATGGTCGCAGCTACTCAATTGCGAATGGAATTGTTGGACAAGCGAAGGGACCTGAAGCAGGCGATGGGGCACAGTTCATACGAGGAGTTAGAGCGGATTCAGGCCCAGCTCAAAGAGATCACGGCGACCTTGAAAAGTGAAAGAGATATTAGAGACAAACGAAGAAAAGCTGAGCTGGTGGAGGCGATGTGCACTGCAGCAGAAGAAAGAAACTTTGCAGAACTACATGCCTTACGTTGTCAATACAGCGGTACTGGACGTGGACCACGCAAGAGATATTTTTACTCACCGCGAACAAATATGGAAGCGCAGGAATGGGGCAGTGAGTTGAAGAAAGACGGCAAAGATGGAGGACTCAAAGCAGAAGTTATTGATTATTCAGAAATGGAGAAAGAGTACTGCTTGGGAGTCGGCAACGACGGCAAGGGTGACACCAGATTTGTGGATGCAGAGTTGATGGAAGATGTACGCGAAGATAGAAGAGCTTTAGTACGATATTTGAGAAAGACTTGCAAGCGCAGAGCGTATCCAGCATGGGGTTTACCAAGTGAGATGGCGCTGCTGATCGAGAAACCGTTGGAGAACATTAAGGACCCGAACGAAGCCAGCGAGAGAGTGGCAGCGGTTTTGAGCAGAAAACAGAACGCGGAAGACGCAGAGGTTCCGCAGACCAACAAAGGCCGGGCTCTTTTGATGAAGATGGGTTGGATACCAGGATCGGCGCTGGGAGCGAACCCTCAAAGAGAAGCAGCAGAAGCAGTACTACCAGCTTATTTGATTGTTCGAAGACATTTCAGAGCGGGACTTGGCACCGAGGTGATGAGTTGCAAAGCCGAGCTTTTCCAGAAAAGGTACTCGGAGTATATGGTTAAGATCAGGACTTGCGAGGCCGTACCGATTGATTGATTGTCTAAGAGCATCATCATTCAGCATGGACAGGAGTAACGGGAAGCCAGGCATCCTTGGACGCCGTGTGATGCATTGCTTTTGCACCTGGTCGATGGGCTTCCACAGCGGCATTCACAAACGAGTTCCAGCTATTACAAGACCTTATTGGGCACATGGAGGGCTTGGGAAGAAGTGTCGAGAGGACGCCTTGATTACGACGATGAGTTGCAGATGGCGCATTTTATCATTGGGTCATAGCCACATCACCACGAACGTTGATTGCACGAGCGCTTTTGGATTTACCTCAAGAGAGAAGTTGGAAGAAGTTGCGAGAAGTCAGAGTTTGGAGAAATACTTTCCTTTTGCAGTGGGAACTTTCGAGCACGCATCAATGGTTATCAGAGGCAGCGACGAGGAGATTAGCCTGATGCCGAAAAGTGGAAGCCAGATGGGTTTTTGTCTTGCACCGAGAGATTTCAATGACTGCTACAACCCCCTAATTGACAAGTGGAACGGGCATCTCAAGGAACAGGACATCACTTACGGTTTGCTGAGGACAAGGAGCCCGACGATGAAGACAGGAGAGGAAGTTGATATTGGTTTGGCCACTTTTATGGACGATGTGACGCGCACACATGTTTGGTTGGGCACTCCGAGCGTCAAAGAGGCGGCATCGAAGATCAACTACGCGACGGAGCAGCTGGAAAAGGGGATGTCAGAAGGAGGTTATCACTTGAATGCTGATAAAACACACCACCTTGTCGGTCTGCGAGGAACGGGAGCTCAAGCTACGATGCGCCGATTACATCAGAAGCAGCATGGCGTCAAGGGCGAGGTCCAGAGGCACATGAGAATGCTAGGGCCCTACCTAGCAGCCGACGGGACCATCACTGATGAGGTGAGGCGGAGGGGCGAGGCGATGTATCGAGCTTGGAGAGAAGGAGGAGTTTTCTCGAAAGCAAAAGAACTAAAGAAACCAAAAAGGTTGATGTTTCAGAGTTTGGTTCAGGGGGCGGCCCTTTCAAGGATGACTACGATGGTGCTTGAACCGCAGCACAACGCGCACTTGAACAGAATCATGATTAAGCTGCTAAGAAGTCTAGCCGGGGGAAACTGCAGCTGGGTCACGCCTGAGAGGAACACAAAATCGATGAGCACGTTCGAGGTTTTCGAGTATTGGAGCATCAACGACACGGCCACGGAGCTTTTTATTCGACGTGTTAAAAGATATCAGAGCTGCGGGAGGTTTCCAGAAGCAGCAAAACAGGTTCTTGCATCAATATACGGTAACACGCTGATGGAGGAGGTGGAGGGTATAAGTAGACTTGATTCTTGCAGTAGAGTTTATCACGACAGCAAGCCGTGGGCGAAGCTGGTCCAGGACGATTTGAAGTTGCTGGCGATTCTCAGCGAAGAATTCTGTGAATGGTATCCCGACGATGGGAGAGATTGGCTGCTATTTGTGGAAGGTACCGAGAAAAATGTAAAATGCTGCTCTACCGATGTCCTCATCGTCCGCTCGCATTCGAGACGCCTTAGAAAGATGGGGAAGGAGGAGGTCAGCATGACGGAGGACAAAAACACAGACGATATGGACAAAGCAGACGAAGGTCACGGTGAACTTCAACAAGTGGGCGGACGTCAGCCCGTTCGAGGGCGGCGACGCGATGGAGGAGGGCCTCAGGATCGAGGAGGTTCGCAACGCCTTCCTGCAGGCGATGAAGAAGAACGGAGCGGAAAAGATGCAGGGCCAGGCGCCGAAGTCCGAGATCGTCAGGGTGGTGGAGAGGCAGCTCCGCGCCAACCTGGATCGCTGAGCGGTGAGCCAACCAGCAGTGTGCCAGCAGATAGTGCAGCAGACAGGCACGGGACTCCTGAAAAGGGGGACAGCGGCCAGGCGACATCTTCCCGAGGTGGGGGAGATGGCGCCCAGCCGAGCGAGTCAAGGGGTTCCAGGGGTCCCAGATGCCAGCCAATCCAGTATACTCTTATTCCTACTCCTGTGCCTCCGAGCCTCCCCTCTTCTTCGTCCTCGACTATTCCCCCTGCTCGAGCTATCGTTTCGCAGCATGCTTCGAGTGATCCTAGCATTCTAGCTAATTTGGAGCGCATGGCAGCAGCAGGTAGCAGCAAAGCGAGAGAGATGGTAGCAGACGCTTACAGGCTGATGCGTCGTCCTCCTCCCCGCGCCCCATAGGAGGCAGGTGGAGGAGCCTTATTTTTCCGAGGTGTGAAGCGGTGGGATCATGCTTATGCATCCCTGCCGACGGTCCACTGGAGCGAGAGGCTAGCAGGTCTCTCACTTCAGCGGGCTAGGCTGCGGTATAGAAGCGTTAGCCCCTCGTCCGCTTTCAAGTGTCACGCAGGGGGCACTCCATAAGGCAGAGCATCGCCCTTAGATGAGCAGGCCGTCGCACTGAGACGCATCGCCCCCCCAGCGTTCCATCCATCCATCCATCCATCCATCCATCCACCTCCTCCTCCTCCTCCTCCTCCTCCTCCTCCCTCCTCCTCCTCCTCCCTCCTCCTCCTCCTCCCTCCTCCTCCTCCTCCTTCTCCTCCTCCTCCTCCTCATCCTCATCACCCTCTTTCTTCCCCTCGTCCCTCACCCTCTTCTCCCAGACCCGTGCTCTCGCATGGGGCACGGGCCGTGTCTGGGCATCCCCATGCGCAAGGGATGCCTGCGGGTGGCCCTCAGGGCGTCCTCGTAGGAGAGCACCGGCTTGCCCGCCTCCTTCGATCCGAGAAACTGTTTTTACACACATATAATACAAATATACATATATATATATATATATATACAAATAGACGCACATCTATATATACATATCTATATATATATACAAATATATACAAATATACGCATACATAGAATACAAAGATACAAATATACGCATACATAGATATATTTGATCCCAGGCTCCGGGCCCACGGCCCCCCCCCCCCAGATGGTATGGTCCCAGGATTCCTCGGGCCCCCCCCCCCCCCAGATGGTATGATCCCAGAGACGACGACGACGACGACGACGACGACGACGACGACGACGGCGACGGCGACGGCGACGGCGACGACTACGACGACTGCGACGACGACGACGACGACGACGCGACGACGACGACCACGACGACGACGACGGCTGCGGCGGCGACAACGCCGGCGGCGGCGGCGGCGACGACGACGATGACGACGACGACGACGACGAGGACGACGAGGACGACGACGACGACGAGGACGAGGAGGACGACGAGGACGACGAGGACGACGACGACGACGATGACGACCTCTGAACCACCACAGCACCACACCACATCCAGAGGGGGGGGGAGGGGGGCACCGCAGCGCAGCACCACGCCACGCCCACCTCTGAACCACCACAGCACCACACCACATCCATAGGGGGGGAGGGAGACACCGCAGCGCAGCACCACGCCACGCCCACAGGGGGGGCGGGGGGGACCATCGCGCGGGGGGGGGGCCCAATGGCATCAGCATTGGGGGGGAGGGTGGGGGGGGCCCAAGCCCTGGACCATATATATAGTACGCAATAACAAAAACATAGATGCATGTGCACATGAGCGTGCGCAGCTTTGCACGTGCACGGAATGTCAAATCGACGGAATCGAAACACCTGCATAGACACTGTATGTATGTATACTTACATGTACAAGCGCATAAGAGCAGATCCTTAAACATAGACATGTACATGTACATATGCAGATACACGCACCTGAAATACACATATGCGTAAGTGCACACATAGGCATATAAACTTGAATCTACAAATTTCACAAACAGTGCCTGCCCTCAGGGCTTCTCTCTTCTGGTCCAAGGAATGTGGCTGGTGTGCCGCTCGGGCGGCTATATTGTCGCCGTCGCCGCCCAGTCGCCGCCTCGACCCCGCCCGTCGTCTGGGCCAGTGTGCCGCTTTGGCGGCTATGTTATCGCCGTCGCCGTCCCGTCGCCGCCTCGTTGCCGCCCGTCGTCTGGGCCAGTGTGGCGGTCTGGCGGCGATATTGTCGCCGTCGCCGCCCCGTCGCCGCCTCGTCGCCACCACATAGGTTGCTCCACATAGATTGCCAAGTGCGATTGCACCATATAGATTGCACCACATAGAATGCACAGCATAGATTGTACCACATAGATTGCATTTAGTAATTCTTACTTCTCCTCTGAGAAACTGGGCCTTGAGGGCGGTCTGGCGGGCGCCCCGTCACCGCCTGGTCGCCGCCCGTTGTCTGGGCCGTGTGGGCGGTCTGGCGGCTATGTACTCGCCATCGCCGCCCCGTCATCGCCTCGTCGCCGCCCGTCGCCTGGGCAGTGTAGGCGGTCTGGCAGCTATGTACTCGCCGGTGCCGCCCCGTCGCCAATTCGTTGCCGCCTCGTCGCCGCCCGTCGCCGACGTTGGATGGCGCCGCATACGTCGCACGCAGGTTGCACGAATTTGTTCTCGCACCTGCTGCGCGTATAATGATTGCTCACAACATAGATTGCACTACAGAGATTGCACAATATAGATGGCACCACATAGATTGCACAACCTATATTGCACAGCATCGATTGCATCACATCGATTGCACCACATATATTGCACAAGATATATTGCAACTCGTAGGTTCGTCTATATAGATTGCAGCACATCAGTTGGACGATTTTATACACACATATCTTTATATATATATATATATACATATATATATACATATATATATATATACATATATATATATATACATATATGTACATATATAGATTCCATACAATGCTTGTATTTAGGGGTTAATACTTCTGCTGAGGGAACTGGGCCATGTTTTCGGTCCGGCGGCTATGTGGTCGCTGTCGCCGCCCCGTCGCCGCCCCGTCGCCGCCCGTGGTCTGGGCCGTGTCTTCGGTCTTGCGGCATCGTGGTCGCCATCGCCATCTCGTCGACGCCTCGTCGGCGACGTTGGGTTGCACCACGCAGATTGCACCTAAGAATCACGCCTGCGGCGCGCCTATAGATCGCTCACAGCATAAACTGCACCACACACACACACAACATAAATTGCACCACCTAGACTGCACAACATATATTGCGGAATCACAAATACTGGCCCACAAACATTGCACCATACAGATTGCAACGCATATATTGCACAACGTGGGTTGCATCACGTACATATATCCCACCTGGGTTGCACCACGCATGATGCACAACATAGACCTGTCAAACAATAAGGCACAACGTGTAGTGCAGAGCACAGATTGCACCGCATAGGATGCACCGCATCTATTGCACACCATAGAGTGCGCACTATGGACAGCACAACATGGATCGCACGACATATATTGCACACCGTAGATTGATCCAATCATGTTCCCCTGGACGAGATTTCGGATGACCCACCCCGTGGATTATCCGCACCCCTTGCGAACGGATAAAGTTCATTCGATTATGCCCCACCACTCGTTCATAATATGACCCCTGCCAAACCCGTAACGGCATGCCCCTCATCCATTGCACCAGTTTTTGTTTGAATAACCCTTCGCAACTGACGAGACGATATGCACGCAAGCGCTTCGTCGCGCGCGCATGCTGGAACATTTCAGAAACATTCGGTTCGTAAAAAATCTCACAATCGGATGTAATCACCAAAAACAAAAATCAACCAATCGTCTCACAACATGAATATTCTCACAACAGAAAAATGCGCTCGAATGTTTGCGAATCTTTTCGGGCACCTACAAGCGATATCCACATTTTCATCACATGCGAATAAGCCTGCCCCTCGCGCGCGCATGCCGGAATCATTCGAACACCAGTGCGGGCGCGCAATCATTAAAAAGACACTAGCAAAACGATGGGGCAAAGAGCGAACGTGCGCGTCGTCGCGCGCATGCCGCGATCTTGCAAAAACCTGAACTGTCGCAAAGACGTCCAAACCGAGCGCCCGGAAACATACAACAAAAAAAACAAATTGTTTCGCAACCGATTCTCCTGTTTTCATTTTAAACACTAACAACAACACAGCGCCCGCACTGTTGCGGATTCTGAAACATGCGCTTTCAAAATGTTCATAACATGCTACCAAACGTTCGAACGCCCTGGCGCTTGCGCTGTCGCAAGAACCGTTCGCAACAAATTGAACAAATTACACGCGCGCGCGTCGTCGCGCGCGCGCCGAATATTTCAAAGAAACAGCGACGATAAAAGATTTCGATACCGAGTGTCCCGACAACATATAAACACACATGGCTTCGCAACATCCATTCAAAAAGGCATGCGCTCGCGTTCCTGTAAATCCTTAGAAGAAAACCATTGGTGTTTGATCATTGTCGTTCGGTTCGGCCCCAATGGCCCCTCGCGCCGCATGCTGAAATCATTCGGACGCCCATTGCGCGCGTTCCGTATCAAATAACACCATGCGGGCCATTCTCTCGCGTCGGCCGCGCGCACATGTCGAACTCTTTCAAGCCCTTCATCACCGACGAGAAGGCGGCATCATCGTCGTCGGCGTGATCAGCATCGGCGCCGTCACTTGCCTTGCCGTCGCCGTTGTCATCGTCGCCACTGTCATCGATACGTTCATCATCGTGTCTACCGTTGTCGGCGATGCCATGATACCGCGCCCGCGGAAATCCCCGATTGGCACTGAAGCGCCCGCTGGAAAATGCCTGGGCGGTCAGCGCCACCTCGGCCGACTCGGTCGCGCCAAACTAGCTGGCCGCTTCACGCGCGAGCACGCGCGGCCGCAGAGATGCACCAGCCAACGCCAAGCACTCATCGCAATCGCCGCCGCATGCGTTCTGCAAACCAAATTGCGGGTGGGTGGGCGGGATGGTTGTGCGACCAATGGAGTTGACCACTCACTGGGACCAGAAACGAATTGCAACACGTAGGTTTTATTTTCTCTTCATTGAACATATTAAGATCTAGCCCACCATCCCCTGGGATTAAAGGCCCCGCTTTCCGTATTGCAACTTACATATGACCCTGCCCTATCGTCCATCCGGAGAAAAAACAAGAATTCCGATCACCCCAAGCAGGCCGCTATCGACCCCCCCGCCCCCTCATCCTCAGCAAACAAGCTGCGCGCACTCGTTCATCACAAACCATTTATTTTGTCAAGAGTCCCTTGCAACAAATGGGACGAGATGCGCACGCGCGCGTCGTCGCGCGCGCATGCTGACACCCTTCAAAAACATTGGTATCCACATAGAATTCAAAATCGAATGAAAACAAATGGTTTTGCAGAACGAATTTACAAACAACAGAACTGCGCTCGCAAGCCTACAGGTTCTTGAAAAACCGTGCGTTTTCAACCTGTTCATAAAATGTTGCCAAACGTGCTTCTCGCGCGCGCATGTCGAAATCGTTCGAACGCCCTTGCGCGCGTGCTATCGCACGAGACCTTCAGCAAAAACAAAACGAAGTGCACGCGCGCGCGTCTTGGCGCGCGCGAGCCTGAATCTGTCAACAAAAACTCAATTTCCGCATGGCTTGTAAAATCGAATACCCCGACAACTTCTAAACAACACATGGCTTTGCAACATCCATTTTCAAAACTGTCTGCGCTCGCGTTGCTGCGAATTCTAGCGAACACCATCCTACGAAATTCCTTAAATGCAGCCAATCTGTGTCACCGACGCGGGGACACCGTCATCGTCGCCGGCGTGATCGGCATCGGCGCCGCCACTTGCCTTGCCGTCGCCTTTTGTCACCATCGCCACTGGCATCGCTACTACCATCGTCGTGTCTACCGTTGTCGACGTCGCTATGATACCGCCCCCACTCAAGTCTCCGACTCGCACTGAAGTGCCCGCTGGGAAATGCCCAGGCGGTCAGCGCCACCGCGGCCGCGTCGGTCATGCCGAACTAGCAGGCCGCTTCGCGGGCGAGCATGCGCGTGCTAGCGCTGCCGCAGAGATGCACCATCCAACGCCAAGCACTCATCGCAATCGCCGCCGCATGTGTTTTGCAAACCAAGTTGCGGGTGGGTGGTGGGTGGGATGACTGCGCGAGCAGTGGAGTTGACAACTCACTGCGAACATAAATAAATAGCTCCATATATATATATATATATATATGTTGCACCACATAGGTTGTTCCACACAGCTAGCACCACACATATTGCTAGAAACACACCGTCAGGGGCCCACTTTGGCCCAGATGCGTAGACATCGACATGTCGATGTACGTACGTGTATATCAAATAATAGCGGCATCAGGAGGAGGGGAAAAGTCATGTTGCATCTCTGGGGAATATTGTCGGCCCCATCGCGCCGCTAGCCGCTTTGAATCCGCGTCGGATTCATGTCGGACGCGTGGAATCTGCGTCGGATCCACATCAGCCCAACCAGGTCAGTTCAAGAGACGACGGTAATTTCCAAAACAGGCGAGGTTCCCCGAAAATGCAACGTCAGGAGACAAAGGAAGGCACCACGGCGTCGTGAGGCACCACGGACGTGTGAACCCAAATTCGGGGCCCAGGACCGTCACGGGTCGACCTGGCTCAAGGAACCGCGCATCAGTACGGGGTCGGAACCTCCGATTGTTCCCCAGACAGCGCTTGCACTGCAGGTTCTTACGTCGCTTTGAATAGTTCGTATTTTCGCCTGGTGCTCGCCGGGTCGCCGCCCGTCGCCGCCTCATCACCACCTCGTGTGCTGGCTTGGCTTTCCGGGTGTCGCCGCTTGTCGCCACCTTGCTGCCGCCTCGCGTGCTGGCTGGACCTTCCGGATGTTTGCCTGCCTGTGCTGGCTGGGCCGTCCAGGTGTTCGCCTCGTGTCTCGAGCTCCGTCGGGGCCCCGAGCGCAGTGCCAGGCCAGAGGGCCCGGCGTGATATCTCGCACACCGCGCCCAGATGTCCAGGGGGGGGGTCGACGCGTGTGCTCGGTGATGCGGCCCGGTCTGGCAGCCCCGAGTCCAAAACAACGTGCATTTCTTCGGGGGGGGGGGGGAGCATCCGTGCCATGGAACGACGGGCTCCCCGCGGGTACACGAAAGTGCACATGCGGAGTGCCCACCTGCTGTCGCCAGGGCCTACGAAAAGAATCAAACACACGACCGCGCGCGCGCACCTGCAGAAGCTATGGGCCTGCCGGCGGCCTCTCGGGCCCGCCTTCGGCCTGTGCCCTGCCGGCACGGCTCTCCCGCAGCACCAGGGGGGGCATAGCGCGGGATACGGCGACCCCAATCCCCGACCTTGGAGGGGTTTTCGACTGGACCGAACAAGCTGGGGGCCCAGCCCTGGGTCATACGAGGTGGGGGGCGCCCATCCTCGATAAGGGTGCGTCCGAACAGCCCCCTAGAGGGTTTATCCCACAGGCCAACCCCCCTTTTCTGAACGGCCGGCCTTTCTCGCGGAGCTCGGGGATGAGGGGAGAAGCATCGTCGGCGAGGGCATACTTCGCTCCCCCAGCTTCAACCAGCCCTCCGCTGCCGGAGCAGCCCCTGCTTCACCTCCGCTGGCTCCCGCGGACCTCCCGGTGCCTCCCGCAAAAATGCATATTCTGAGCAGTTTCTCAGGGTGGAGGGCCCAGGGTGAAATCCACATGGGCCTTTGCGCCTCGCAGATCGATCCGTTTCGTGATTCACATCTTGCAGATTCACACCTCGAAAATCAATCGAAACGGCATTTCAGACTTCACCCTTTGCCCTCCGCCCCGAGAAAATGCTCGCACGTTTCTCCGCAGCGCAGCCCCATGCCCATGCGTCGTGCTTCATACTGCTAGGTCGGGCAATTCCCCCACACAGGGGGATTTTAGACGAAAAATTAAAATGAAAAAAGAGAGAGAAAGAGAGAGAGAGAGAGAGACAAAACATGCGCCAAAATTTCCAGAAAAATTGTCAAAAAATCGCCCCCTGATTATTTCTTGGCTACTTTTGAATATTCCTCCTGTAGAGGGACACGGCCGCCTTAAGCACACTGCCTGGGCAGCCAGGCGAGAAACACGGAGCGCCACGCGACGCGCGGAGAGCAGCAGGAGCCGGGAGAGGGAGCAGGCGGCACGGGGGAAGGAGAAAAAAGAGCGAGAGCGGAGGCAGCAGCAAAGGGCCCAGGAGGCAGTGAAACCGCAGGCCACTGCGCTTCGGATGTGCTTCTCTGGTCCGAGGCGGCTGAAGGGCCTGAATTGGATGGGCCACGAGAGGATCGGTCAAGAAAGGGTCGACACGGACAGATCCCCTCAAAATCCGCCCCCGGACCCTTCCCAAGGTCCTTCTGGCGAGGTGTGTCGCCCCGGAGCAGAGTTTCACTGTCCCCGGCCCCGGGGCCCGAAAACGGCCCCTGGAAGCCGAACGGCAAAACAAGAACTCCCTCGAACCCAACACCTCGGACCTCAACCCCCCCTTCCTGCTCGCCAGAATCAGCGCTGCTAGGCCACAGACCTGCACATGCCTCCAACTGCCTGGCCCCCGACGGAGTCCTTGTTCACCAGGTTGTGCAGGTCAATCATCCACCGGACGGCGCCCTCACGGGTCTCCAGGTGCGGCGCCGTAGGGTGCTGCGCCAAGTGCGTCTGCAGGTCTCTGCCGCACTGCCTCCGGGGACGACGAATATGAGAGCGGGAGGGACAAAATATTCACTGCGTGGAGCTCCCCGTATGTGCATATCATATTTCTTATGCTGTAGCGAGCGTCTGTTCATGAGTGTCTGACTATCAGAGCGCGCCCATGAGGGCGACAGGCCCGACGAAGACAAGTGAACCCGCATGCCAGCGAGTGAGTACGAGTCAGAATGAGCTTTGAGTATGATTGAATATGAGCCTCTTCCTCCTCGTTCCTCCTCCTCCTCCTCCTCCTCAGCTACCAGGCCGTGCCCCCCTCAGCCCGCGGTTGCTTCGGATCTCCTCGAATGTGTACCTGGTTTAGGATAGTTGGCAGTAGGATCTGCGAAACGAAAGTTTAGCCACATAAGGCCAGATGTGCATGTCATGTTGTAGGAAAGTGCCACGCTGAGCATTTGTCTATGATAGTTGTTTGCTCTACGAGCGCGTCCATGTGAGCGACGAGCACGTGCGCGTGCAGCGCGGCTGCATATCCACCACATGCACGCTTTCATTCAAATGCATATGCCCGCAGATCTTTTTGGCCAAGGCAAAGAATTCCGTTGGCGCCGCGCCCGAAGCACCATGGGGAGTGCGAGCGGCAAGTGTTTCAAGCGGCACCTCGCGACCTGCACCTCAGCTTTACCGTCCGCAATTGGCATCGGGTCTTCACCTCGGCCGCAACAATGGTTTGCAAAATCCAGCGCCAGCGCCGTCCGAAAACAACGCCCCCCCCCCCCAAAAAAACACCATCTGAAAAACAATAGAAAACCAAATAGTCGCGCCTCACAACATCTTCACTTGCGAACGGCAGGAGCTCCCCGGGCGCAAGAATCCCCGGAAACCAATATCCAAAATTATCCCAGTGCGACCCTACCTAGGAGTTGGAGCCTCTAGGAAAGCAACATTAGCAGGAGCGGTAAACGCCGTCTTCCTCCTTCTCCTCATCGTCGTAGTTGTAGCAGTAGCGGTAGTAGTAGTAGTAGTAGTAGTAGTAGTAGTAGTAGTAGTAGTAGTAGTAGTAGTAGTAGTAGTAGTGGTAGTGGTAGTGGTAGTAGTAGTAGTAGTAGTAGTAGTAGTAGTAGTAGTAGTAGTAGTAGCAGCAGCAGCAGCAGCAGTAGCGCCAGAACCGCCGAATGCTATAGCAGCACTAGTGGAGGTTGTGCTGCGCTATGCTATGCTATGCTGTGATACGCTATGTTATGTTATGCGATGTTATGCTATGATATGCTATGCTGCGCAATCCTATGCTGGGCCAGGCTAGGCGATGCGATGTTATGCTATGCGATGTTGCGCTATGCGATGCTGCGCTATGCTATGCTATGCCATGCTATGCCATGCTATGCAATGGTTTTGCTTTGCCTTCGTGTTTGCCCTCATGTTTGCCTTAGCTTTTGCTTTTGCTTGGCACCCAGGGAGCGCAACTGGGGGAACCGCGCGTTTGCTTTTACCTTTGCTGTTGCTTTCGCTTGGTTCCCCGGGGGAACCGCCTGGGGCGATTTACACTGCCCGGCCCCTTTAAGCAAAGAAAATAAGAACCCTTCTAGGCAGAGCCTAGGTCGGGAAAAACGGCAGCATTCCCCGCGCTTTCGACTCCAATGGACGGAAAGTGTGCTCCAGGTCCTCTAATTCCTGCAATCTCTTCCGTGCGTCCCAGAGGGTACGTGCCGGAACACAACCCAAAAGAGCAGCATGCCTCGACTCCATCTTCCGTGCGTCCCAGAGGGTACGTGCGGGAGCACGACCCAAGGGAGCAGCACGCCTCGATTCATGCGTCGACTCCGTCCTCCGTGCGTCCCAGAAGGTACGTGCCGGAGCACGACCCAAGGGAGCAGCACGCCTCGACTCCTGCCTCGACTCCGTCCTCCGTGCGTCCCAGAGGGTACGTGCCGGAGCACGACCCAAGGGAACAGCAATTTGCTGGTCCCGTCCTGGGAGTGCTGAAACCACCGCCGCGCCTGAGACATCCTCCAAATCTGCTGTACTCGCAGACGATGCTGGGCACCGAAACAGGCAAACCGCCTGAAACATCCCCACAAACTGGCCGCGAACGGGCCCGTGATATACCCCCTGGCTGTTCCACTCAGGAGTGCTGAAACCAGCGCCCCGACGGAGACATCCTCCAAATCTGCTGTACTCGCAGACCATGCTGGGCACCGAAACAGGCAAACCGCCTGAGACATCCCCACAAACTGGCTCCGAACGGGCCCGTGATATACCCCTTGGCTGTTCCACTCAGGAGTGCGGAAACCAGCGCCCCGACTGACACATCCTCCAAATTTGCTGCAATCGCAGACGATGCTGGGCACCGAAACAGGCAAACCGCCTGAGAGATCCCCACAAACTGGCCGCGAACGGGCCCGTGATATACCCCCTGGCGGTTCCCTTCAGGAGTGCTGAAACCAGCGCCCCGACGGAGACATCCTCCAAATCTGCTGTAGACGCAGCCGATGTCGGGCACCGAAACAGGCAAACCGCCTGAGACATCCCCACAAACTGGCCGCGAACGGGCCCGTGATATAGCCCCTGGTGCCCCCCCTCAGGAGTGCTGAAACCAGCGCCCCGCCTGAGACATCCTCCAAATCTGCTGTAGACGCAGACGATGGTGGGCATCGAAACAGGCAAACCGCCTGAGACATCCCCACAAACTGGCCGCGAACAGGCCCGTGATATACCCCCTGGCGGCTCCCCTTAGGGGTGCTGAAGCCAGCGCCCCGCCTGAGACATCCTCGAAATCTGCCGTGCGTTGGGTAACTCAGACGATGAGAAGGTCTGAGTATGTGTAGGTCTGAGTATGAGTAAGTCTGTGTATGAGTACGTCTGGGTATGAGTAAGGTATGAGTAAGTCTGAGAATGAGTAAGTCTGCGTATGAGTAACTGTGTGTATTTGTACGTTTGGGTATGAGTAAGTGTGAGTATGAGTAGGTCTGCGCATGCGTAAGTATGAGTACGAGTAAGTCTGTGTATGGGTAGGCCTGTGTATGAGTAGGTCTGGGTTTGAGTAAGTCTGTGTCTGAGTACGTCTGGGTATGAGTAAGTCTGAGTATGAGTAAGTCTGCGCATGAGTATGTCTGTGTTCTGGGTGAGCCGCCAGGGGGTATATCACGGGCCCGTTCGCGGCCAGTTTGCAGGGATGTCTCAGGCGGTTTGCCTGTTTCGGTGCCCGACATCGTCTGCGTCTACAGCAGATTTGGAGGATGTGTCAGCCGGGGCGCTGGTTTCAGCACTCCTGAGGGGAGCCGCCAGGGGGTATATCACGGGCCTGTTCGCGGCCAGTTTGTGGGGGTGTCTCAAGCGGTTTGCCTGTTTCGGTGCCCAGCATCGTCTGCGATTACAACCGATTTGGAGGATGTGTGAGCCGCTTGAAGCACTTGCCATTCGCACTCCCCCTGGTGCTTCGGACGCGGCGCCAACGGAATTCTTTGCCTTGGCCAAAAAGATCTGCGGGCACATGCATGTGAATGAATGCGTGCATGTGATGGATGTGCAGCCGCGCTGCACGCGCACGTGCTCGTCGCTCACATGGACGCGCTCGTAGAGCAAACAACTATCATGGACAAATGCTCAGCGTGGCACTATCCTACAACATGACATGCACATATGGCCTTATGTGGCTAAACTTTCGTTTTACACATCCCACTGCCAACTATCCTAAACCAGATACACATTCGAGGAGATCCGAAGCAACCGCGGGCTGAGGAGGGCACGGCCTGGTTGCTGATGAGGAGGAGTGAGGAGGAAGAGGCTCATAATCAATCATACTCAAAGCTCATTCTGACTCGTACTCACTCGCTGGCATGAGGGTTAACTTGTCTTCGTCGGGCCTGTCGCCCACATGGGCGCGCTCTTATAGTCAGACACTCATGAACAGACGCTCACTACGGCATAAAGTAAAGCATGAGATGCACATACGGGGAGCTCCACGCAGTGAGTAATTGTTCACTGGAGTCGGCGGCGTCCAAGAAATAACAAGAACCCCATCTTAGGATATGGGGAAAAAGGCGGAAGACGAAAAAGGGGAGGGGGAAAAATGGGGGCGAGGAAGGAAGAGAGAGAGAGAGAGAGAGGACAAGGATGCGATAGGGGATGACGGGGAGGAGGAGGAGGAGGAGGAGGAGGAGGAGGAGGAGGAGCGACACTCGCCGAAAGAGCGGGGTGGTGTGGCGCTTGCTGCACGCCCGCTCGCGGTCGTGGCCGGCGGCGGCGCGGGGGCCCGCGGCGGTGCGCCTGCTGGGCCGCTCCTCCGACGCGAGCGCTTCGACGACGGCCGGGCGGACGGGGCTGCGCGTGCGGCGCCACCGGCAGGGCAGGTGGCCATGCCATGGGGGCGGGCGTGCTGGAGCCGGCGCCTGCGCCGCCCGCGGAAGCGGTGGCCCCTCTGGCGCACGCGGCCGCTGCTGGTGCTGCTGCCCCGCCGCCCGCGGCGCCTGACGCGCGGGCCCGCTCGCGCGGCTCAGGGCGCGGGCGTCGAGCCCTGTCGCGGACGAGTCGCTCTGGGTCCTCTGCGACGCCGGCGGCCTGCGCCGCCTGCATCCGTGGCGCTGTTCGTCGCCACGGGCGTCCCCGCGATGCTGGAGTGAGGCGTGCTCGTGCTGCTCTTCGGTGTCGTGCCCGCCTTCACCGCCTCCGACGCGAGGGTGGTGTACCCCGTCGTCGGCATCGGCTTCGGGTATGCAGCCCATTCTTGGAGCTGTCGGCCTCCGCAATCTCCCCACTGGGGAATGGAGGATCCATATTATTCCGTCTTGCGCGAGTCGATTCACTCAGACTCAGCTCAGGACCTCCTCCTCCTCCTCCCCCTCATTCGCCTCCTCCTTGCAAAGATGATTTACGGCTCACTCCTGGGCCTGTATGATTCACTCCATCGGAACGGCAGAGTGCATTACAGCATCGTTGGTACATCCAGAGTTCACTCTGGTACTCCTCCTCCTCCTCCTCCTCATCCTCCTCCTCATCCTCCTCCTCCTCATCCTCCTCCTCCTCCTCCTCTCCTCCTCCTCCTCCTCCTCCTCCTCCTCCTCCTCCTCCTCCTCCTCCTCCTCCTCCTCCTCCTCACGTTCCTCCTCCTCCTCCTCCTCCTCCTCCTCCTCCTCCTCCTCCTCCTCCTCCTCCTCCTCCTCCTCCTCCTCCTCCTCCTCCCCCTTCTCCTCATCCTACGCGGGGTCGCATTCCCCCGCCGAGCCTCCGGCGAAGCGGGAGGCGCGCGGGCGTGAAGAGGGGAGGAGCCGCAATAGGACTGTGTGTACCTTCTCCGTGGTCCCGGTATGATCTGGATGTCAAGGAACAGTGTAGTCCTGTCATGCTGCTCATGCTGACCTCGCCCTCCGCATCCTCTTCCTACTCCTCCTCCTCCTCCTCCTCCTCCTACTCCCTGTCTGCATCAGCATCAGCACCATTGTCACCATCACCATCACCATCACCATCACCATGACCATGACCATGACCATGACCATGACCCTCACCCTCACCATCACCACCATCATCACCACCACTACCATCATCATCAACATCACCATCATCATCGTCATCAGCATTATCATCATCGTCATCATCGTGAGCATCATCGTCATCGTCATCGTTATCATCAGTATCATCATCATCGTCATCATCATCAGCAGCAGCAGCATCATCATTGTCATCATCATCAGCAGCATCATCATCAGCAGCATCATCATCAGCATCATCATCATCGTCAGCATCATCATCGTCAGCAAAAGCAGAACCAGCATCTCCATCAGCAGCATCCTCACCACCACCATCATCATCAGCATCACCAGCATCATCATCAGCATCATCAACATCATCACCGCGGCGAAAGCCGGATCCGGCCGCGCACGCCTCTCGGGCCTCCGAAGAGCGGAGGGTGAGGGGCGGAAGGCCGGAGCGGAGGGAGGCCATGACACTCTCCGTACCGACGCCGTGCCTCACTGAAGGGGCCCAGGGACAGACAAATAAATAGACACGAACCCCAGGGTTCCCCATGCTTTCCCATATTTGCTGGACTCTCGTCTTCCTCTCCACTTCACATTTGTGTGCCGCATGTTCCTGGGAATCGGTGTTGGTGTCTGTGTGTGTTATTTCCTCCTGGCTCACGCCCTGGGCCGGCACAGAGCTTCCGGCCCCAACAGACTGCGGCCCGCCTTCCGCAACGGGCCGTCTTGAAGGGGCCCACAAACACACAAATAAATACACACAAATAACAAGATTCCCCATATCTTCCCTTGTTTTCTGGGTTTCTGTCTTGTCTTCCCCCCCACTTCCCATATTTTCCCACATTTTCTGAGAATCGACGAATAATTGTGTCTGTGTTTTTTTGTTTCCCTTCCTGACGTCTCTCGAATGCCCAGGGGGCTCCCGAGGAAAGCCTCCAGAATCACAACAGATCCTCGAGAGGCCCGTCGCGCTTCCCTCGCGACGCCTGGAGACATCCCCGACGTCCGCCGTACTGAAAGGGAAAACAAACCTACCTCGCTTTTGACCACCCTCGCTTCCAAGAGATACCAAACGATGCCAAATTGCAGCCTGTACTGGTCAGGCCGCTTGACGAGGAGGCGCGTGGTATGGCTTGGTTTTGCCTGGAAGCGAAAGCGGGGGAGGTAAGTCACGCTCTGAGTACTATTCTGTCCATCCGCGGCCCCGGGAACCCCGATCGCATCCCCAGGAGCGGCGCTTCGCCCCAGTAGGATTGCTCAGAGCCTCGGGACCCGCAGGCGGCCCCCGAGGGCCTGGATCGAGGAGGAACGCCGGGAGTGAAGAAATCAGGTCGTCGGAGATCTGGGGGAGGACCGGCCATGCCCTGGCCCGCCGGGCGGGGAGCTCGGCGCCCGCACGGCAGCATCTCGGGCAGCGACGCCACCAGCGTCTCGAGCCTGCGCTGCGTCTGCGCCGGCACGTGCGCGGGCAGGCTCCCCGCCAGGCAGTGGAGCAGGCTCCACGCCTCGCAATCACGGGATCAGGTGTGCATCCTCCCCGGTCCTCGATCCTCCTCCTGGATCCTCATCCGCCTCCTCCTCCTTCTCTTCCATCCTCCATCCTCGATCCTCGATCCTCGATCCTCGATCCTCGGTCCTCCTCCTCCTCCTCCTCCTCCTCCTCCTCCTCCTCCTCCTCCTCCTCCTCCTCCTCCCCCTCCTCCTCCTCTTCCTCGAGGCGCCGTTCGGGATCCAGCGCGCGCGGGGGCGCGCGCGGGCGCATCCGTTCGGCCCCAGCCCGCCAGGCGGGCGCGGGCGATCGCGACGGCGGCGAGGCAGCGTTCGCCGTCTCGCGTCTGGCACAGGCGACTGACTACCTACCAGACCACCCCAACCCAACCCGAAGACCCAAATTTCGGGTTGGGGGGGTACGGGTTCCATATGTGTTTTCTCGATGTTCCCCGACCCCCCCCCCACTGGAAATGGAGGTCAATTTGAGACCTTCGGGTTGGGTTGGGGTGGCTTGGTGGGTGGTGAGCGACTGCGGCGCAGCGGCTCCCTCCGAGGGAGGCTTTGCGCGAGGCAGCTGCCGGGCGCCTCCTGCGCGCTCATTACGGCGACCAGCCAGCACGTCAGGCAGGTGCGAAGGTGCCGGCAGAGGATGACAGGGTCTGGGCAAGCAAGGCTGCCAGACAGTGCGGATCCAAATCGAACTGCCCTTCCAGAGCTGCGTGCTGGGCATGAGGACGGGGCAACGAAGGGCCTGCTTTGTCCCGGCGCAGTCGAAGGCGCCGCCTTCTAGGAGGGCATCCAGTCGCAGACCGTCCCGCCCCAAGCAGCCCCCTTGGCAAGATCCTGGTGGTAATCATCCTATTCCTCAGCACGATTGAGGGGGGGCAGACCAAGGACTCGGACCTGGCTAAATCCAAGAGGGCGTGGCAAGCCTTGCGTCGGATATACGGCGACGAGCACGACTAGGTCATCGCAGCCAGAACAGGGTGTGAGAAAGCAGAGTCCGCAATCCGTGCTAAGATGGACCCGTCAGATCTTCTCAGAAGTGCTAAAGATAGGGTGGCAACCAAAGACGCTGAGCGAATCGCGAGGGCCAGCCACGTAGAGCAGCTTGAGTCGGACCTGGAAAACGAACGGAAGTACCTGCAGAAGCTGGACACGGAGGTGGCCGCTATACATGCCGAGGTTGCCCAGGCCCCAGCAGCGGTGGCAGCTACAGCGGCCCAGCAAGGCAGCAGGAAGGAGGTGGCAAATGCATCAGCGGCAGACCAACAACTCCAGGCGGTACTTCAACAGGCGAGGGCAGGTACCACCAACCTCGACGGCGGGCAGCTCCTCGCCACAATCGAGCAGCAGGTCGCGAATATCGGCCTCATCGCGTCCCCGACGGCCTCTACCGCGGCTGCGCACGGCACCCCAGCGGGCTCGCAGGCAGCGCCTTTTTGCGTCCCTCGGGTGCAGCACATCCCGCTGAACCAGGGGGACAGCCAGGCCGTGCAGGCGGACCCAGACCGCAGCGCCTGGGAGAACGCTGGCGGCGACCAGGCGAAGGCGAGCAGACAGAGGAACGAGGCGGCGAGATATTGGAACAGCTATCTCCAACGGATCGTGCTGGGAGGCATGCAGGTCTTTTCTTGACGGAGGGTGCCAAGGGTATCCATATCGTGTGTACTGAAGAGCTACACTTGGATCAGGAACGTCTCTAGAAAGCGCAGGCATCGTCTACGAGAGATAGTTGGAACGCGTTCCTATCGCCATGCCGACGGCTATCCACAGGGTTTTCCAGCATCTTCGTGCGCTCTCACATCCTCGCGACGTTGCTCAGCGTACCGTAAAATGAAGAAACGCATGAAACTGTTCGGCAGTAGTCTACAACCATACACGTTGACATCTAAGGTGTATGAACAAGCTTTTCACTGTTGCAGGGGACTGGAACATCAGCCCCCGAGAGTATGTGCAAGCAGGCTTGGGCGAGCTGCTGCCTGTTTCTCTACGCTAGGCGGAGGAGGAGGACACCTGCAGGTCGGCCAAGGGCACCGACATGAACATAGACTACTGGCTCACCTCGTGTGACCTGGGAGCCGCTTGTACTACTCTTACCACGATGCCTTGATGGCAGCCACGCCACATCGCCCTGGACAATGCTACTTGAAGGCGTGCCCCAAAAAAGGTTGAAGGTTCTCGCCATGGCGGCGTCCCGCAGCTTTTCGAAAAGGATCTCCTTCTGCTGTCGGATGCCATCCACTTGAAGGCCCCATACAGGATTCCCCTGTCTTGAACGTGTGGGGAGAGATGTATCAAGAGGCCCGCCGCGTTCCCGGGAGAGAGCAAACGACAGGTTGGATATTGTGTACGTCCAGCTCATCTCCAGCGTGGAGGGCGGCTGCGATTACTCCATCGATGAGTTTCCAGAGCAAGACGCTTATCGCGACGAACCAACAACACACACCCATACCCATAGGGGGATCGGAGAGGGCTATGGGTGCGTGTTGTCGGATGGGGGTCCCCGCTCGAACGGGAGCGTTCCCCAGGGCCCGACAACCCTCACCCATACCCATAGCCAGTCCTCCTCCCAACGACCCCCCTATGGGTATGGGTGCGTGTTGTTCGTTACCGTGGAAGGGCAGATGGAGTTCAGTTCGTGTAGCGCCTCGTCGGAGGTCCCACGTGGGGGCCCCACCCAGTTGCTGGCAACGAGGCGAGATGCATTGGGGCAATTGCGCTTGCACTTAAAGACGCCGTCACATAAGTACAGTCGGGGCCTTGACCTAAGGAACCCAAAATAAGGAACGAGGCCCCTTTTTCCCATAAGTTCAACCTCGATTTCCCGTGGAAAACCTCAGGAAAGCCCGAGGCAAACTTTGAAACATTCAAGGAACACCGAGCCCCTCCCCAACGAAAAGGGTTCCTTCTTCAGCGCCCCGACTGTACGTGTGGATACTGACACAAAGTTCACGGCGTCTACGCCTGCACGTTTACCCTCACGGCTCACGGGTATCACATGGGAAGAATGGAGTCGACAACAGGATCACGCGCCAGAAGGCATTCCAGCTAGAAGACATGAATGTGGGCATTGGTTAGCGCCGCGACAGCAACTGCTTGCGCCGAGGGAGCTTGCTACGAAGTGGAACCTATCGGCAAGGGCGAGGGCGACACGGTCCACGATCATTAGAGGTCAGTGGTCGCAGTCACGACTGCGCCAATATTGATTTGCAAATGATGACCTATGCCAGTACTGCCAGGGCTGCCCTGACACGCTGCATCACAGACTTTGGAGTTGTCCCAACCTACATCATGAGAGAGTGGAGGTGGATGCACATTTTATTGAGGAGGCGAGATGCGTGCTCAACAACATGAGATATGAGATATGTTGCCACTGATACCGCCACCATGTCAGACTGAGAGCTGGTCATGTGCGCATGGAGGTCACACAGCTACCTGGACAGGAGATACCTACACGGACGGGTCTGGAATCTCACCTGTTGGCTGGCCAGAAGCAGCGCGTGCTGGCTGAAGTATTGCTATGATGACGGGAACGAGGTTGCGTTGCATTGCATTCGGTGCTCGACCTGGACGCCAACAATCTGTACCACCGGCTGAACTCTTTGCGGTTATCCAGGCGCTACGCAACGGACAGCTACCAGTGCATTTCAGAAATGACTGTATGGGCATATTCGATGGACTTCGGAACGGCGCGACGTGGTGCACACATCCGAGGAGGCCCACCAACGAATTGTGGAAAACTGTGTGGCACGTGCTGGCAGATCACGCAGAGAAACCAAAAACACTACAGATCTCCTGTACGCAGCCCCGCCCAGCTCAGGGTGAGGCTACATTTACCAAGAGAAGCAGTGACTGTGCTGGTACTGCTGCGAAACGTGGGCCCGCACCGCACCCGCCGCCAGAGACGACCCCAGGACGCGCACAAAGCGTTTCTCAACACGGTGAGGCAAGTGGCAGCATGGATTGGGACACCTCAAACCCAGACATCCAGCTGCTCCGCTCCACTGTTTTCGACGCGTGACCCCTGGAGGTCCAGACCACTTCCCCGAAGCCGGCGTGTCGTCCTGACTTGCTTCTTCAAGCTCCCGCAGCCCGGCGAAGGCCCCCAGAGGCCGACAACTGCAAAAAAATCCAGCCGTTCCAATTTCTTTGGAGCGTCGGCTCTCTGGCAGTGCTCGCCGCAGGTGCCGACCGCCAGCCCCCGCCGGCTCGAAAGCCACGCCGACGCCAGCGCCAACGGCAACGGCCGCACCGCGGGGCACAGGGCCGAGCCGCGGGGCGCCGAGCGCATCGCTCGGCCGTGCGAGGCCCGACCCCTTTGCGTGGAGCGGGCGGGCGCGTAAGAACTGTCGGCGCTTCGCGCGGGCGCGCGCTGGACGTAGACGCCCGTGCGACAGGAGCTCGACCAAAAGAAACCTTCCACAACAAGACCCTATCCTGGAACCTTCCAGGACGTAGATGGGCTTTTGGTGTGGGGGCGCCACGCTCCCCATAGCACAACCATCGAAACCCAAGAAACCCAGAGCACCCAGGAGTGTTTCTCGGCATGGGTTTGCATCGTCGGGCGGTGTGCACTGTCCGCCGAGCCTTGGATCCTGGGGCCCCCCTGGAGCAAGCCACCTCTTAGCAGTTTGCCACACATACTCACATCACTGCAAGATAAAGGACATACTGTGCACCCGCGTTGAAGCCCTTGTCGCGCACCCTTTGGTCCAGGACTGAATATGCCCACATTATCGGACACCCCTGGTCCTGTACGTCTCCAGCGTGTGGGCGTGCGGCCGGCGATTCTCATCAGGACCTGCCACAACCAACCACACGGGGCAGCCGACGCTGTCACGAACGACACCTCCGTTTCCGACTGTGTGAAGCATGACTGTGTGCAACACCCACATCGCCAGAAGATGTCAAGCGGGCCCAGTGCGATGAGCGCAGACAGTTGACTTGCCTGCGTCAACCGAGGGCCTGGCTTTTTGACCCCCAGGGAAGGGAGGAGACAACTCCTTTTACGCACCCCCAAGCCCCCTGAGGGACCTGCTGGTGAGCCAGGCCTGCGCACGGAACCCATTTGCCGAGCCTCGGGAGAAGCCTGGGGGGGCACGCCTGCTGGTGGCTGAAAGGAGGAGGCTCCGACGCGCAAGGCGCCGCGGCACGGTCGCCCCTTCCGCCTCCTCGACTGGGCCTGACCCTCCTCCTCCTCCTGCGCCTCCGCCCCTGGGGGTCGGGGGGCTGCCCCGGACTGGGAGGCCCGAGGACGAGGTGGCGGCGCCTGTCGTTCGGACAGAACGTAGAGCCAAGCCTGGCATCGCCTCTGGGCAACGGACACGGGCCTGCGTGCGTGAGGCGACCGAGGCTCTGGAACCGCCAGCTGGCTCGGAAGAGCGCCCCAGACTTGCCGACTTGCCGCGGCCACATCCCAGCACGGTGGGGACATGCCCCCCCCCCCCAGGCCACTAAAAAAGCCGCGTCCTGCAACGTGCTGGCGAGATCATCGGATGTATGAGATGCGGCTCTCTCTCTCTCTCTCTCTCTCTCGGAGGCCGCGCATCGATCTCTGCTGTTCAGTCTCTACGACGGTCCGCAGGTTCTGGAAAGTAGCCCCAGAGCCACTGGCGCACAGATCATGTCGCTCCCAGCCGCCACCCCGAGAGCACGGCGAGAAGCCTCCGATCCCAGCCCCGACACGCTTGTGGGCTGACGTGCACGCCGCCGCCGTCGGCCCCCAGCGGGCCTTCACGGCGGGAGGGCTCGTCGCACGTGCCGCGAGGGCGGCCCCTGGGCCCTCTGCGCTGCGGGCCCTCTCTCGCGTCTGCCGGTGAGAGACTGCAGCGCCTCGGCGCGTCCAGCTCCTCTCCCGCCGCCTCTGTCCCGACCACGGCGCGTCTCCCCATGTGCTCGCTGCTGCTGCTGCTGCTCCTCCTCCTCCTCCTCCTCCTCCTCCTCCTCCTCCTCCTCCTCCTCTTCCTCCTCTTCCTCCTCCTGCTCCTCGAGAATATCCTTCCTGTCCCTCCTCGACACTCCTCGACCTCCATCCTGCTCCTCCACGATCCTCCTCCTTCCCCTCTTCCATCCTCGACCCTCGATCCTCCTGCTCTTCCTCCTCCTCCTCCTCCTCCTCCTCCTCCTCGATAAGTTCCCTCCTGTCCCTCCTCAGTCCTCCTCGATCCTCGATCATCCTCCTCGATCCCTCCTCGTCCTCCTCCTCATCCTCCTCCTCCTCCCAGACGCCTAAACGTCTCGAGACAGAAAACGTGTCGGAGACGCTTCCTTCAAAGTTCGAGCTCCAGGGCCCAGTCCCTGCGGCCATCCCAACAACGATCCGCGGCAAAAACCGAAAGAGCCGCGGTGGTGGGGTCGAGAGCTCCTGGGGGAGGGACCGACGTCGAGGCAGAAGGAAGCATCACGTCGGAGGCCTGAGTCTACCCCTGGTGTGCACGAATTGCGCCGAGGGCACACATTTCAACCGTTTCGCGTCCAGCAGTGTCTGCTGTCGTCTAGTCGGCTGCTTGGGCCCGTGAGCCTTTCTTGACCTCTGCCTGCCCCTCGGGTGTGCAAAACTGCGTTCGCCACTGTATACCACCTATGGCTCGTACTGCGTTGCTGTCGCTTGCCCCCTTTCACAAAAGTGTATGATTCATTCCTCCTCCTCCTCCTCCTCCTCCTCCTCCTCCTCCTCCTCCTCCTCCGACTCCTCCTCCTCCTTCTCCTCCTCCTCATCCTCCCCACCTTCATTAACATCACAATGATCATAAGCATCGTCACCACCACCACTACCAGTCATCATCATCAACATCATCATCATCAGCATCATCATCATCAGCACCAGCATACTCGTGACCATCATCATCATGACCACCACACTCATCATCGTCATCAGCATCATCAGCATCATCAGTATCATCAGCATAATCGTCGTCACCCTTATCACCAGCATCATCAGCATCAGCATCGCCACCGCTATCATCATCACCATCAGCAGCATGATCGATCAGCAGCAGCTTTCGTATCCTCGTAATCATCAGCATCAGCAGAATAATCATCTTCGCCATCATCATCAGTATCAGCAGCATCAATAAGATCACATTCATATTCAACATCATATCGTGATTAGCAGCATCATCAGCATCAGCATTCACATCATCATCATCATCATCATCATCATCATCATCATCATCATCATCATCATCATCATCATCATCATCATCATCATCATCATCCGCATCATCATCATCGTCGTCATCAGCATCATCATCGTAATCGCCATCACCATCACCATCAGCATCATCATCAACATCATCATCGGTATCACCAACATCATCAGCAGCATCACCACCACCGCCAACATCATCATCATCATCATCATCATCATCAGCATCATCATCATCATCATCATCATCATCATCGTCATCAGCGGCAACATCAGTATCCTCATCCTCATCAGGAGCAGCAGGATCATCATCACCCTCATCAACACTATCATAACCATCATCCTCATTATACTCAGCATCATTATTATACCGTTCATGTCCATCACCATCATCATCGTCAACATCAGCATTAACGTTACCATCATCATCTTCATCACCATCGCAATCACTGTCAGCATTAATTTCATAATCAGCATCAGTATCATCATCATCGTCATCATACTCATCATCGGCAGCATCATCATCAGAATCAGCAGCAGCATCCTCATCATAAGGGCTATCATCATCGTTATCATCAGCAGCATCATCAGCATCACCACCTCAATCATCATCATCATCACCATCATCATCAGCATCATCACCAGCGCCATCATCATCGTCATCATCACCATCAGCATCAGCACCAGAATCATCAGCATTGTCAGCATTATCAGCATCATCAGCATCATCAGCATCGTCTTCATCAGCATCCCCATCATCATCAGCACCAAAGTCATTAGTATCACCATCACCATTACCATCATCACCATTACCATCATCGTCATCATCATCATCATCAGCATCATCATCATCAGCATCAGCATCATCATCATTCCCCAACTCCGCCTCGAGATCCACATTCTCCTTCTCCTGCGTGTCCTCGTCCTCCCTTCCTGTTCCTACTCGTTCAACCTCATCATGATGACAATGGCCAACCCATTGTCAACAAAACAATCCAGATAGCCTCCATTATTACGCCGATGTTCGTCCAGGCAGGGCTCGTCCCGAATTGCAGGCCTGGTAACACCGAGGCCCAGTCCTGTTTTCCGGAAAGGGCTCGCGCCAGGCTGGGCCAACGTGTGGAGCAGCAAAACCCCAAACGCCCCCCCCTCTTCCTCGTTCCCCTCGTTATTTCCCTTCTCTTCCTCCCACCCCGCATCCCTACTTTCCGACTCCGCCCCCTCGGAATGGGGAGGAGTAAGGAATAGGAGGCAGGGGGAGGAGGAGAAAAGGAGTAGAACCAGCAGGAGGAGCAGGTGAAATGAACATGAAAATGGAAATGGTAAACTCGCAAAGCGAAACGAGTTAAAGCCAAGCTAGAGACCATTCACATGAGTGTCTGCAGAAGATGTCGAAGGGCAGGTTCGAACAATGAAGTTGCAATCACCAGAGCTAGCACACTAAATGTTCGGCGTTAGATGTGGAATACCAAATCCGACATGCAAAAGGCCCACCAACCGAGCTTTCACAAATACCTGATTGAAATAATCGAGATCGAATCGGATCGATCGAATCGAAATCGGGTGCTGCAACGTCGCGAAATGCCGCATGCGCGGGGTTCCCCTCGAGAACTCCGTGGAAGCGCGGTGCCCGACTTGATGTTTGCCTGACGGGCCAGAACTCCTGCAGGGGGGGCCTCGAGCCGCCCGTGCCTGAGAGCAGAAGGGGCAGGAGGAGCAGGAGTGGAGAAGGAGGGAGAGGAAGGCTTCCGACGACGACGACGACGACGACGACGACGACGACGACGACGACGACGACGACGACGACGACGACGACGGTGCCCAACGCGCCTGGGGCCCCCACACCGTCGGGTGCGCCGCGCGGGCGCCGCCCAGGAGCTCCCTGAGGGCGTCCTCTGCGCCCCCCGGGCTCGGCGGCGGGACGCGCTCGGGCGCAGCCCGGGTGTGTCCGCGTCTGGGCGCTTCCCCCCCCCCCCCCCCCGTGGGAAAAACACACACGCACGTGTTTTGTTGTTTCTTTTGTTGTGTGTGTTTTCTTGTTGTGTGTGTGTGTGTTTTTCCCCACGTGTGTTTTTGTTCCCCCACGTGTGTGTTTTGTTTTCCCACAGTGTGTGTGTGTGTGTTTTTTCGCACAGCGTGTGTTTTCTCCCACAGACTCCCCTCGCGCGGCCGCCCTCGTCTCTCTTTTCCTTCCTCTTTTGCGCGCCGGACAACTCGCCCGTCGGTGGGCCCGGTTCGCCGCACGCCGGTGCGGACTGCCCCTGCCTCGCCGCCGACGAGGTCCCCGCCGGCGGAGCGCACGTCCCGGCCCAGGGAGCGCGGCTGCTCCACGGGTCGGCGCGACCCCAGCATACAGATGCTATATGTGCGTGGCCCCCCCCTCCGCCTCCTCCCCCTCCTCCCTCTCCTCCCCCTCCTCCTCCTCCTCCTCCTCCTCCTCCTCCTCCTCCTCCTCCTCCTCCTCCTCCTCCTCGGCAAGAGGCTGCCGCGCTCTCTCCACCAGGCTGCCGGGCTTGGCGCCCCTCGCGCCACAAGAGAGTGCGCGACACGCGGGCCGTCTGCGGGCCGCCCGCGCCCTCGCGCCGCCCTCCTGGAGCAGGGCAGCCGCTCTGGCGCAGAATCCGCGACGCGCGAAGCGCGATCGTCTTCGCGCTCCCGCGGAATGACAAGAAGTTGTGCGACCCACTCCAGAGAGCCTCGCATGGTTTTCGCCGCGCCTCTCTTCGCTCCGCGCGCATCGCAGACCGAGACGCGCGAAGCGCGGTTGGCCTGGTGTCATGCTCTTTTTATTCCAGGTGCTCCCGTGCGTTGTCTGGCGCTTCGCGCTTTTACACGTTGTCGGGCTGGTGGGGGGGGTCCAGGAAGTTGCCGGGGGCGTCTGGCAGCGAGGCAGCGGCGGCGTTCGAAGGTTCTCCTCGTCGTGCGGAGCTCACCCCCCTCTTCCATAGATGACGAGGATGGCGATGCTGATGATCAGGAGGATCAGCGGGATGGTAGCAGTCCTCACTGCCGTCTGCTGTTTTCTCTGCACGTGGCGCGAACGTCCACCAGAAGGCTGCCCAGCTGGTCCTCGCCCGCCTCGTCGTTGCCCGCAGGGACCGGCAGAAACCCCAGCGTCAGGCCCTGGATCTCGAGGAACCCCTCTGCTCCGTGCCCTGATGCGCGCCGCAGTGATGCTTGGCCTCGCCATCCTGCCCGTCTCCGGCTTGGCCGTCCGCGCTCAGCGTGACGGTACCGTCGCCGTGCTCGGCGCGTAGGTGGTCCCAGCTGCACTGCTCGGCGCGCTGCTCCTGCGCAGAGCTGTCGTCGCCCTCGCGCCAGCAGGGTGGCCCGCTGCCAGCGAATCCGCCTACACATCGTCAAGATGCTGCGGGGCCATTCACCGACCAACACAGGTAGTGGTGGTGAATGGACGCGTACATCGTAGACCATTCGCTTGGGACATTCAACACTGTTACCTGACCTTGCAATCTACGCGGTGCTATCCGGGTTGTGCAACCAATGTGGTGCACCAAGATGTGCAAAGCAATGTCAAGCAATGCGAAGCGACGCAAAACAATGCAATGAACAAAAACCTAAGCAAAACAAAGCAACACGTTACGAAGCAAAGCCGTGCAAAGCAATGCCAAGCAACGCAAAGCAATGCCAATCAATGCAGATCATTGCAAAGCACGGCACATTAATGCAAAGCAATGCAAAGCAATGCACATGAATGCAAAGAACGACATAGAAATGATAGCAACGCAAACAGTCCAAAGCAGTACAACGCAATGCAAGCCTGGGCAACGCGCTGCGACTGCAAAACACTGCGATTGCAACGCAATGACGGAAAGCAATGAAAAGTGACGCAAGGCAGTGCAACAGCCACGCAGAAACCAGACAAAGCAGTGCGCAGCAGCGCCAACTCGTGCAGAGCCACGCGAAGCCGCGCAAGCCCGGGCGCAGCAGCGCAAAGGCAGGCGAAGCAGCGCAGAGCAACGCGAAGCAATGCAGGCGGGCGGCGACGGGGCGGCGGACGGCGGCGCAGCGGCGACGACGAGGCGGCCACGGCGGCCACAGGGCGGCCAGAGCGGGCCGCAAGCGCAGGCACCCTGGAGGATGCTGGCCAACGTGGGCCCCAGATCGTGTGGTCCGGTATGCTGCGCGTTCCAATCTGTGCGATGCAGGCTACTCCAGATTTCGTAATAAAAGGGAGGGGGTCTGGACCCTCCAAGACAAGCCATTTCAGACCCCCCCCGTGGGAGAACCCTCCAAAACATCGTCCCCAGACCCCCCCAGGCCCTCCAAGATTGCCTGGAAGAGACCCCCCCCCGAAATGAGACCCCCCTCCCTTTATTACGAAATCTGGAGTACGTGGTGCCATCTACGTGGTGCAGTGTACGCGGCGCAGGCTGCGTGGCACAAACTGTGCGGCACCAGCTTACCGGAGCGCGCGGTGCGGCGCAGCTTGCGTGGCGCAGTATGTGTGCGGTGTGAGCTGAGTGATGTAGCGATGGTGACGACGACGATGATGACGGTGGTGTTGATGATGGTGATGATGCTGTTCATGATGATGGTACTGCTGGCGAGACGCCCACCGACTGCGGAATCACTGCTGCTGCAAACCACTAGAGGAAGCGTTGACATCAGGACGGAAAGGGGGGCGTGCTTGGCATCTTCCCCACCCCCAAGGGAGTATGAGGAGCCAGCGACGAATCTAAAGCCGACGAGGACGAGGGCGAGGCCGCCGACTCCGACGACGAGAAGTACGAGGACGACGCGGACGACGCCAAAAACAGGAACCGCGACGACGACAAGGACGACAAGAAAGCGGACGACGACAACACAACGACGACGAAAGCGAACAGCGAACAGCGAACAGGACGACGACGTAATTGGATAAAAATTCAAGCATCTCAAAAACCAGCCGAAAACCACCGAAAGGCTTCGAACATCTCCGACCATGTCCGAAAACCTCGACGACGAAACGACGGCGACGGCGAAGTGGTCGAGGACGAGGGCGACGACAAGGACGAGGACGGCGACGTCGACGTTGACGACGGCAATGAAGACGACGAAGGTGACGACGGCGATGACGGCGTCCACATTCGGAAACAACCCAACCTCTTTGACACGGCTGAACGTCTAGAAAGCCTCCAAAATCCCGAGCAAGCCTCGAAAACGACGACGGCGACGACAGAAACAACAACGACGACGACGACGACGACGACGACGACGACGACGACGACGACGGCGATGACGACGACGACGACGACGACGATGACGACGACGACGACGATGACGCGAAGGTCCTCGTGCACCTGGCCAACGTCGGTGGCAGGGGCCGCCTGGGCTCAGGGACGGCGAAAGGCTGCATCCTGGTCTCCAGCTCCTCCCTTGGCGACCCCTGCTCCGGCACACTCCTCCAGCATCCTCCTCCGCAATCCTCCTCCGCAATTCTCCTCCTCCTCCACCGTCATGGCTCCACTTTGCTGGTGATTCCGCTCGTCCTGGGCACCTCCATCGGCCCGGTGGGCAATAACTCTGACCCGCTGGCGGTCGTCGGCACCGCCAGCGGCCAGCTCGGCAACCCGCTCCTTATTGTGGACGCCTGGATCGTCAACTGTGGGAGGCCCGGAAATTGGCACCAACACCAACACAGGGGGCTGCCTCCACAGGGGGAAGATGATCCTCGATTTCGGTGTTGGTGGTAATATTTCTGTCACTCTGGGAGCCAGAATATTACCACCATCACCGAGATCGGGATCCTCTTCCCTCGGTGGAGGAACACCGCCGATACTGGTGTTGGTGTCAACCTCTAGGCCTGCGAAACTGCACACTGGGCGCCAGTCCCCACCGTGCCGCTGCCCCCATGGCCTCCGGGTCACACCTCGGCCCCCCGGCGGCCGCTCCGGGACGACCCGGGCGCCCCCGGAAAACGCTGTCGGCGAGGCGCAGCCGCTGGAGGGCACCCCGAGGCCGGAAGATCGCCGAGGATCGACGAAGACTCCCGAAGACCTTCGACCTCGACTGGAAAATTCGCCGAGAATCGACGAAAACTCCCGAAAACCTTCAACCTCGACGGGAAGATCGCCGAGGATCGACGAAGACTCCCGAAAACCTTCAACCTCGACGGGAAGATCGCCG